AGTTAGCAAGATCCTGTCTCCAAACACAAACTGAAAAAAAAGGGTGGGGGTGTATAGTTTTAGGGTAAAATACTTCAGTAACAAATGTGGGCCCTAAGTTTAACCCTCAACATTGTGAGAGAAGACCAAACCACACCAAACCACAAAAAAAAAAAAAAAAAAAAAGGAAAGAAAGAAAAATAATAACAATAAAACCCCTGCCAGACATGGTGGTGTATACCTTTACTCTCTGCTTCATGGGAGGCAGAAATAGGCAGCTCTCTTTGAGTTCAGGCCAGCCGGGCCTACATAATGAGACCCTACCCCCCCCCCATTTTTGTCTTTAAATTACATTTTTTAAATTTATTTAGTGCATGTGTGCAGGTATACATGCATACCATAGTTCAAGAGGTTTTTTGTTTTTGTTGTTGTTTGATTGCTTGGTTTTTGTTGTTTGTTTTTTGAGACAAGGTCTTATTCTGTACCTCTGGTTGGCCTAGAACTGGCCATCTTTCCATGTGCAGGGTTACAGATGTGAACTAGCATGTGCGGCTTTGGGCTAGCTTCTTATTAGTTCATAGGAGTGCAGACACTGGGCTATAGGGACAGTAGGGAAAAAACCCTGGCACTGGGCTTGGTACCCTGTATATAGCCTCTAGGTCCTGCCCTGCCCTTGGTGCCAAGAGGCCAAGGCTTTCCCAGTCATATGTCCCCAATAGCCATACTTGGTCACCCTTACTCAGAAAGAGGACCCAAGGGTGGGGAGCAATGAGCTCAGGGTGTGGGTTCTGGGGTGAGTTGTGGTGGATCAGCAGAGCCCAGCTTCGAGGACGGATACCTTGTGTGCTGTTGTTTTGTTGTTTGTTTTTGACACTGCTGGTGTTTAAAGAGCCTGATCCTTCTAGCTGCCAGCCCGATCCTCTGAGCAAACCTTTCTCAGGGCAAGGGGTGTGACTCAGGAACACAGTGCTTGCCCCTCATGCCCCAAGCCCTGTGTTCTGTCCCCAGCAACACAAGACAGTTGTTTCTTCTCTTCCAGCAACAGCTGAATGACTCCTCAGTCATTATCAGCGCCCTCAAGACCTCCCTGGTTTCAGGGTAAGTTGCTCCTGGGAGGCAGATCACAGCCTCATCTAAGAGTGGGGCTGCTATAGATATTTCTAGAATAGACCAAGGATGTCCTACTCCAAGGCCTGCCTTCCTCCTCCTATCAGTAAAGTGTTTCTCGTGTCTAACCTAATCCCTTTTGCTGCAAGTGAGTGACTCTTCATAGGCTGGGTCACTGAGTAGCTGAGTCAGGCTGGGTTGGTAGGCCAGGGGGGCAGGAGGATGGAGTCAGGCTGAAGCTCTAGCCTTCCCCTGAAGGCAGCCCCTGGAAGAGGTCATCACCTATTACCCACCCATGAAGGCCATGAATGACCAGGGCAAGGAGGT